GGGCGTTCATATCACCAGCAACCACAACGATATCTGAGCTTTTAGCCTGTTGTAGAAGGGCACCTAGAGCGTCATAGAAACTGTCCTTGGCAGATTCAGAGCTAGTCAGTTGAGGCGTAAGCAGAAACAATAAACAAGGTGCGATGAACCTCACTTCCTCTAGATTCTCTCACCGATGCTGGCAAACGAACCACACAGAGGTGACTGTCAACGGGTCTCCAATCAAGCAGAGACGCTTCCGCTCGTTCGCTCAATACAATACCCACCCCAGCATATCCAGCTGCAGCGGCCTCTGCATCACCAGAGGTGCGCAGTCGGAACCTGGAAGAGAGTGAGGGGGCAGTCAGTTCGATTACAGTACTTGCGTCCTGTGTCCTTGTTTCTGACACACAACATACATCAATACAGAGGGAATCCAGCGCACGCGCAAGAGCCACCTGTTGACCTGCTTGCTTCAGTGTGCGAACATTGAAAGTGGCTATGTAGACAGGCTTTCAAGGTTTGAAAACAAACTTCGAAGTGTTTAGGGTTGTAACTGAACTCGGACGTGCAGAAGCTGCAGCTGTGTGATGCAGGGCGAGCAAAACGGTCAGTCCTAGAGCTGGGACCTGCGGATAAAGTATTCAAATTTGGGCGGGGGAGGGTGGAAGACGGAAAACGTGAAAGTGTAAGAAGGGAGGCGTCAGCAGTAGCATGTCTTCGCTTACCCGCCCTGCTGTATGCAGCAAGTAAGGCGACCCGGCTGATGGCACCACGCGACGGCCGATGTGGCATGAGAATATTGTTAGTTGTGTAGGTCATGGTTGTGCCACCACGCCCCCTACAAACTATAAAATGAAGCCCACTTTGCTACCGTGATTCGTTGCAGCTGCACCTATCTGCCTGGCAGGTACCATCGCAACTATGGAAGTCAATGGCACCACTCTCCGTGCGCTAATCGATACAAGGAGTTCTCGTAGTTTCGCTGGTCCTGATGTCGTGAAACTAAATAATTAAAAGATTTATCCAACTTTTCAGCCGTCAAGATAGTGGTTGCACAACTATCCTTTCGAAGGACCGGTTGCGCCTGTGTTTCTATCCGATACAGAGGTACACGATACAACGGATTGAAGCCTTGTAATACCAAACCTCTGCACCGACATTCTATTCGGGCATGCTTTCCTACGGCAAGATAGAAATTCACTCAGCGAAGATCGTGATGCGCCCAACATCTGCTGCCTAACGGTAGTAAACGTCAAAGGCACCATCACTTTTCGCCAAATTACCCCCATATTACAAGTATGTTGCACCGAATCAAGACATCATCCGGATGATGAATTCATCCGCCTAGAAGTTGGTCGCTTATTGCAAGAGGGCGTAATCGAGCCGTCAGCGTCTCCCTGGAGAGCGCAGGTTTTGGTTAACAAGACTGTCAGTCACAAACGCCAGACGGTTGTTGATTGCAACAGAACTATCAACCGGTTCACATATCGGGAGGCTTATTCCCTGCCACGCCTGGACAAAACGATTGAGAAAATTTCGCACTACGAAGTCCACAGTGCATTAGTTCTTCTCACAGCTGTAGAAAACTTTCGATGCCTAACTGCCATGCCATCAGAAGCACGAGAGCTAGGATACTGCCAGGCTGCCCAAACCTAAACAGGGGAATTCGGCATGCAGGGATCGGGTTCGAACCACGAACCTTCCGGTCAACAAATTCGCGCTCCAACCACTGAGCCATCTCGCTTACCATTAAGTCCTGATCTCTACATCCGACAAGCCTTTTGCAGCATTCGAAGCCTGTAATGGCCTACTTCAGTCACGTCACCCTCCGGTGTCACAAACGGTGTAGCATGTTTCCAGCGAACGATTGACATCAATAAGTCCGAAAAGCTCAACAGCACGTATGCCTACACAGACAATCTGTGGTAACATCCAAGAGGAATACGACCTCAATATTCAATCATTTTTAAGGCTAAGAGGTATGGAATCACACTCAGCGACAACAAAACCGCCACTCCCTCATAAGCTATTAGCCTCCTCCTGTAAAGTTTCAAAGGGTGTCATAAAACCCAACCCTGAAACCCATGTAACCTTCTCTACGTAGTACCACGGAAATGCAGAATGTCATCGGTATGTTCGCATATTAGACACATTGGATATCTTCGTTTTCAGACAAAAGCAAAAAACTGATAAGGAATAAAACATTACCTCTATCTGTCAACGTTGAATCAGCCTTCGAGGACCTGAAAAAAACTAGCTGGAAAACGCTACACGACTTACAACGAATTATAACAAGACTTTGATTGTTGAAACGGATGTCTCCGGTGTGGTTATTGCCCCATCCCTGAGCCAAAATCGTATACCAGTAGCTTTTTTCTCGAGGACAATCAACTCGAGCGAGAAGAATCATTCTGCCATCTAGACTACTGTAGAATCCATCAGGAAAAGGCGACACTATTTATCCAAAAGGCTCTCCTAACTGATCGCCGATCAGCTTACGGTTACATTCATGTACCGCAGTGGAGGAAAGGGTAAATTGAAAAACGATAAAATAAAACGCTGGAGGATCGGGTTGTCTGAGTATAAGTATGATGTCATCCCGGAAGATCCTTCGTTCTAAAAGAACCCCTGCCTCTCGACTTCCTGTTTGGGCTTGGGCGACCTGGCAGTATCCCAGCCCTAGTACTTCCTTCGGGTGGCACGGCAGCTAGGCACTGAAAGGGTCCTACAGCTGTACGATCTAAAATGATGTCATCTACCAGACTGGCAAGGACAATCATGTCGCTGACGCTGCCGCTCAAAGTATGCGCTTCCATGGAGAGCTACGGCTATCAAAGCATTGCCCGTATTTCGCACTGCGTACGTTGTAAGATTCTCCTCTACTCCGTCGACGATGTCGAAAGCATTATTTCCTCCTGCAAGGTGTGCCGAACTGAGGCCAAGAATGTGAAAATCCTCTGGACTCACTACAGGAACACAAACTTTTGAGCGCCCGAGGTCCCCTGCAATCTAATACACGCAACCACTAAGTACTCGCGATAACAGACGAATTTCCCCATTTGTATTTGCGTGTGCGGATATAACCTCAAAAATTGTGACTGGTGGTCTCACACAAATACTGTTTATTCAGAATGTCAGCCTACATCCATTTCGACATACGTTCATCATTCATGTTGTCTGGAAAAAGGTATTGTCATGAGTCATGCAACGGCTTATAATCCAGTGTGACAGTGAGGCGGGATGGATCAGTGGTTAGGGCGCGGATTTACCGACTGGAAGGCCCGTGGTTCGAACCCGACCTCCGCCTCTCGACTTCCCCTGTCTAGGCTTGGGCAACCTGGTAGTATCCCAGCCCTCGTGCATCCTTCTGGCGGCACGGCAGCTAGGCACCGAAAGTGCGTTACAGCTGAGCGAACATCGATCAGTGTTACAGTCAGGTTGAGTTTCAACGGCGACCTCTAGAAAACAACAACCTTGGTATTGTAAACTTAGTCTGCCGCCTTCCCACTCAATACCCGTACTTCCTAATGCTTTACTCAGTCTTCGACCATTGTTATGTACAGTCACCAACTGTACTCCACACGAACGTCTTTTTCAACACGCACGTCGTTCAACCCTCGGAAGCTGGTTATTGTCTAGGTTGACTAATCCTGGTCCAGTCCTGCTGCAGTGAGATGAAAGCCCATCCAACTGTTATTTGAAGTCGGCCTCCTGAACTGCAATCCACTCTATGCACACACCGCTCGTCGAGACGGAAGTGGAAACCGTGTCTCTTTGCCATCTGGCCCCAGCGGTTCAGAATGCAACTGGTGGTCTCAATCTGTCTGATTCCGATAGGGGAAACGAATCTCCAGATATGACTGAAACAACCGGACATCAGTCCGATAGCTCCCAAGCATCTGAACCCTCTTTGATGCCGCACTCTGAAGATCCACCAAGTTGTCCGGAAGTTCTAGAACAGTGCCCATTGAACAATGCCGGAGTGGATGTCATAATTATCATCTGGTTATTATTATAACCACCCAACATGCTCGCAATGAATCTTTGAATGTACAGTCCAGGTGATCCACGTTTGTTCCCTAACAAGTTAAACGTTGCGTATTCCCGATAACACGGACTCTCTTCCGACTCTCTCACATACACTGTAAAAGTCTCAACTCCTTCGCAAGCAGTGCAGCAGGTGTCCCACACGGCGTACGCCAACAGCGTACCAGCCGCGAACCACTTCGATTTCCCACATACATGCGGAAAATCTGAGTTTCCATGTTTATTCCACAGTGGTCGCTGTTTCCCAATCATACGTGCCTATTCCGAGTTTTATAATCGAATTGAACTAACCGATGTAACCAAAGCAACAGGCAGTGACTCACCGGCTCGATAGTTCTGAATGGCACTCTGGAGTCCGATCGCTGGTTAACTGGAAGAAAAATCACCATAAGGCCAAGGAACTCACTCATAACGTTTGTATAGACTTCCAAAACAACAGTAGGTGGGGCATTCCCTCTTATGAGATCCAAAAACAGGTTGGTCACTGTGTAGGAAAACTCCGCGCTATCCCTCAGCTGCAGCATTGTTGATACGCTGGGATCAGAAGACCCACAACAGAAGAGCACAGGAAAGAGTAGGAATATTGAATTCCAGTGAGAGCCGATCATTTTAAGCTGAGAACTCCAAGGGAGAACGATCGATTTCAAACCTCGGGCAGTCAGAAACACATGTCGGAGCTGATCGCAGAACCAGCGGTTAGATCTTTACCTTTTAGTGTGGATAAACAAGTTCTAGTTCCATTCTGCTACCGATCAATTTATTGCCCTGCACATGGATGGTGGTGGTCTAGAACTAGCCGTCTTTCGGAAACTAGAAAATAGGAAGCGGGAGAATGAATTGGTTAACTTATCGCTGGATCCAAACAAAGGCTCAAATCAGGGAGTCATGACAGCGTTCCTCAACGTTAACACACGGATTCACGGATTGATACACAGGATCGAGGCTTTTGCCCAGTTTCCCGGGTCGGTTTTGTTCTTGTCGGTCGGTGGTTCACGGATTGATACACAGGATCGAGGCTTTTGCCCAAGTTTCCCGGGTCGGTTTTGTTCTTGTCGGTCAGTGGCTGTCGTTCACCTGAAAGGCACAAGTGAAAAAAGGGTGTAGCACTGCTCTTTATGTTCTCAGCGCGGGGCAGTATGCTCTCCAGCGCGAGGATTCGCATAAATAAATGTCTAATAGTGCTTTAAATTGGGTTCGAGAAGGAGCGTGTACAATCGTCGGAGGAAGGTCATTCCACGCAGCTACTACCCGAAATGAAAAAAGTTATGTCTAATGAATGTGTGTGCCCTGAGCTCGAAAATTTTCTTACTATGTCCTCGCCGGGTGTTTGCTGGGCGGTCGGTAAAATACCTGTTTGCCAAGCTTTGTTTAAACAGGGCGTAAGTAAGAATTAGGTCCCCTCGGAGGCGACGGTACTCCGCATGCATGAATGACCCTTCACACTCTTCTGTTGTTGTATCGCCGAAGAAATCTTATGGTACATGGAATCTGACCACTTTATCCGATGGGTTTCGGCAGTTATGAAGCCGACGACGCACCCGGTGACTCCTGTTGAGAACAGTGCACAGAAAGGTACTCTTGCTTAACTGATGACGGTAGATTACGTTGTCTGAACTTATTCGAGCTCTCGTTTGGTGGTTTGTATCACTGCTACCCACCGAGGTGTCACTGATCTCCTGCTCACCAGTGTCCTGGCTTCCTGCGGTCAACCCGTGCCAAGTATTACCCTACCAAACCCTACTAAAAACGTTTGTAAATTGACAACACTTTTATTGCGATTTCATACTGGTGATCAAAAGGGAAGAATATCCCGCTGACCACGATTATCCAATCTTCCGAATAAGCCGGAACAGCTGCCTAGAAACTGATCTGTTCAAAGCACCCGAGTGGTATACTCAGAGATGCTGGGGTATCATTGCCGGCTTCTCATATAACTCTGGGTGCGATTGAAATGTCATTCCATTTCAAGGGTAAGGCCTATTCGGTTAGAAGTTGGGCCAGGTTCCCAAGGACCGTCGTCCAGTTACAAAGTCACAAATTGACGGCGATCCGTTTCTTCTTAGCTAGTTTCCGCACACCCCTGCCTGAAGGCAACCATAGTAGCCTGGTTTTTCATGATGGAACCAACCATCCCGCGTCCCTGCTAGTCACTTTCGGGGAGAAATGCCGTTTTCTGGGCTTACCGTATCCGCACTACAGCTTGCACTGTGGTCTCCATATTCACTTATTTCCCACATGCCGCGGTAACCTTTCATCGCCCTACTCTTATCCACGAGCTCTAAACATTCATTCTATCCCCTTCCTCCTCAATTTTTCTAGAATCGTTTCGTTGGACGCTCACGAGTATAGAAAGCCTCATTGAGAGCTCAAACCACATAGTTCCATGCCAACGTATGGATTGCTCCTACTGCAAGGGACTGCTGACCTCCCTACCCTACCAATCCTTTGTTAGTCAAGTGGCCTGCTCAACGAAACAGAGAATCCCACCTACCCCCTGCCACACACTCAATTCATCCGGCTATCACGACTACCGGCGTAGAAGTGTGCCATCGGTCACCGAAGCAGCACTCATCCCACTGAAATCCGTCAAGGTCCAGCTGCGCCGCCCAAGTAATATACTGTTCTTGCTCCCGTCACTCTGCTTTCACCTGCCGACGCATTGTCTACACCCGCCACCCTCCTTATCAGCCATATGTGCTCCGAAACTCACGAGCTCAGTCCTAAAACCTCTTCCCAGCTTCCACCCTCTTCGTGCCCTTACATCCCCTAAACATACCTTGTCATTCACATTCAATCCGCACTTTCCTTCCACTGGACCTAAATCCGGCTTCTAGCCCTGTTCCAACGTTCCTATCTCCGCAAAACATCTCATACCGGATATAATGTTATTGATAATGTTTATTCCAAACCGGTGGGTGGCATGCCGTCAGGCACGATCATAATGCTTCGGCTAAAATGAAAGTGTGACGGGCGGGGCTTGCTGGTACGGATAATTGAGTGGAAAATGGCCAGCGTCATTAACAGTGGGTATTATCAGATTTTGATATGCTGACGCCTAAACCAGCACGGGTGGGATTCATGCTTATTACTGATTTAGGGGGAATATCGGAACGAGGCAAGATAAGATAGAATTTGAATGTGGGCGGAGGGAGAACCAAACAAGAGACATTCTGCCCAACACGTGAGAAAAAAGTAAAAATTGCGGAAAATGAGGGTCCAGAACAGCGGATCTGGTGGAGCAGCAGTGTCGGAATAACCCAACTGGTCTATTTGAACTAAAACCCAAAACCACGGTTGAGGCCCCGTGGCTTTGTACTGTTGGGCTTATGGCCAGGATCACCAAAAGCATAAGTGGGGATGATGAAATCGGGAAACTAGTAATGCGGATAGATGGTAACCAAAATATCATGGTGCATAGTTAAACTCAGATAATCATTGATGTTGCCGTGAAGTCTAGTGTAAAGTTCCTTGGGAGAGTGAGTTAGATACAGCAGACAAGCCGGAACGCTAACTGCGCAGAAAATTAATAACTTTGTGCAAGGCACAGAGTGCCATCAGAAGG